GTTGACTATGCCCTTTTTTCAAGGGAAAAAATAGAGCAAGAAAGAATTAACATTTTCAAAAAGTGACATTAGAAAGGAATAGTAGATTTCATCTCTCTTCCTCTGTATACATGCATGTCTACTTCCTGCACACACATGTAATTTTTTTGCTTCCTGTATGGCATTTGCTGCCTTAGGGTGTGCAAAAGTAATTGTACAATTGTCTAGTCCAGTATGGCCTTGTTTGATGAACACCACACCCTCATGATACTCCTAAAATATATTAGATATTTATCAGATAACTGATGCATGTTATCAGAATCAGTTCTGATAACATGATAAATTATGTATTTGTTATTCTCCTTCTAAATTGTTCTCGCAAACACAATCCATGAAACTGAAAACTTTGTCAGAGTCTTCTGTAGTGTTTTATACAGAGATAATTTAAACAGACATCCTATGAAATCTGTGCAGAAAGATTTATTCCTTTCCTGTCAGTAGGAGAGATCAGGATTCTAACTATTTTCACTAGAGGAGACTTTAGAATGCCTCTCCCAGTCTGTGTGCACCTTCAGGTCAATCTGTGCCTTGATGCACCTTTTGACTTGACACCAGCTACCAGAAGAGTTGTTTGTACTGGTAGCTCTGAGACAGTGAAAACTTAGTTATATTTGGTTTAGAATGAGGTGGCTTAAAAATCTGGCACACTGGATTTAGACAAGAAGCATGTATTTGTAAAGCAGGTCTACTGCTGCCATGGGCTTCAAGTATGTTTCTGTCCCATAGGGTTTAAACGTGCTTTTACTTTCTTCAAAAGCTTCTGTGCTGGCTTAGCCTTCCTGAATTGCAGCTTCAGTATATTCAGCCAGAGCTATGTGCCTGATTCTATGATCTGACAACGTTTATTTCTTTATAGTAACAAAGTGGTGTCCATTTCACACCTTCGATGTAATTGTGCAAAGAGATGTGTCTTTTGGCTCTTTCTTCACTATGAGGATGGTGAGACACTGGAACAGGTTACCCAGAGAAGCTGTGGCTGCTCCATCCCGGGCAGTGTTCAAGGCCAGGTCGGATGGGGCTTTGAGGAACCTGGTCTAGTGGAAGGTGTCCCTGCCCATGGCCGGGGCTTGGAGCCAGGTGATCTCGGTAGCAGGGCGTGGAACTAGGTGATCTTTAAGGTCCCTTCGAACCCAAACCATTCTATGATTCTATGACTTCATATGTCAGATAGCTACTTCTCAGACTACTTTGTTCTGTTTGCATGAAGGCATGATCATTGCAAGGCCTAATACAGTTTTGGTATTAACTTTAGTGCTTTTGTGTATCCTCACTTAATAGTGAATGGCTGTTAATTTATCAGTATTCATCACCTATAATTAATTTAACTTCTACTGGTGTGGTTAAAATTCACAATTTCTTTTAAACACCATCTATATGTGTATTACATATAGATGCATGCACCTGTCTTCCATCTTCAGTGTAGAGTGACTACAAAATACTGAAGCACACAGAAGGAATTGTTACCCCGGTTCACATAAGACAGACAAATGATCACATACTTGCTCTGGAATGTTGTAGAAAACCTAGGTATTTAAAAATCATATTTTACACAACTTCTCTAATACAAAATGGAATTCCCTATTCATTACGTGTCCTCTGCTGTTTTTATTTTCTTACGATCATCAAAGGTTCAGTTCTTTGTATTCAAGATGGAAATTATTGATTAAAGGTGTGAAAGCTGGCAGTAATTAGGGTTGTGTTGTATGCTGAAGTTAGTGTAATTCAGAACGATTTCTTATATGACTGTGCATGTTAGAAGCATGCATTTACAAATTTAGCTCACGTTAAATTGCAGTTCATTTTTATACACAATTTTACAGATTATGTGCTCTAAAAATGTCATTGAAGCATTCTGCATAATAGTTCTCAGGTTTTAAATGGGAAATGCGTAAATATTCTGCTCACCAGGTTTTGGTGAGTTGATCTTTTTTTATGCCATGCTAGATTAGATGTTTTATACAGATGTATAAGCTCTGTATTGCATATATTTGTGAGTGTGAAGTTCTTGCATTAAACTGTGGTAAAACACAGATTTAAGTGGTTGTAATTTTTTTTCTTTCTAAAACTAGACTTGTTTCTCTACAGAGTTTTAATACAGTTTAGCTAATTCATCTTAAATGTTAGTTTATCGAAGCTTCTCCAAATGTCTTCATGTAGATGTGATAATTTATTGCTTTTGAAAAATCTTACCTCCTTTATTCTAATTTATACTTCCTGGTTCACTTGAAGATATAAATAAGCATAAGGAGCAATTCCTCAGTTCATTGTTGAACATTTTTCTGGTGACATTTAAAAAAGATCAAGCTATTTCCGTGTCTTCAGTTGTATTTTTACAGTGTTATACTTGTCACTTCAGTAACAGCATGTGTGATAATAAAGTTACTCAAGTTCCTAAACTTTTTTGGATCTTCATTTGCATTTGACAAGCATCCAGAAATCTGCTAGCCTTAAAGTAGTGCATGAGGTACTGACAGGATTGCACAGTGAAATGTTTCTTGCAAGGGTTGTGTTTTAGTAAACATTTTCCAGCATGAGGCAGCTGCAACTTCATCAAAACTGCTGCATCTACACCTGTAGGCAATTGAATGCATATATTTAGCTGTAGATTTCCAATAACTAATGTAAAGTAATGTTAGGGGGCAGTTGTTATTTTCAAAATACATGGTGGTAACAGCATTTGTAGCCCTTGGGAAGGGATTAAGATGGTGTTTCCTTCTTACTGGAGAAGGATGGTTTTTGTCATGATTCCTGTCCTACGTGCTCATGTGAAAGAAACCCTTCCAGATTTATTGTAGGTCCCCTTAAGGTACTAGAAGACTGTTTTAAGTTCTCCCTGGAGCCTCTTCTTCTCCAGGCTGAACAACCCCAACTCTCTCAGCCTCTCTTCATAGGAGAGGTGTTCCAGCCCTCTGAGCATCTTTGTGGCCCACCTCTGGACTCTCTCCAACAGGTCCATGTCCTTCTTATGTTTGGAGCCCCAGAGACGGACATAGTACTCCAGGTAGGGGTCTCGTGAGAGCAGAGTAGAGGGGGAGAATCACCTCCCTCGACCTACTGATCATGTTCCTTTTGACGCAGCCCAGCATACAGCTGGCTTTCTGGGCTGCAAGCACACACTGCCGGCTCATATTGAGCTTCTCATCAGTCAACACCCCAAGTCTTTTTCATCAGGGCTACTCTCAATCCAGTTGCTGCTCAGCCTGTATTTGTGCTTGGAATTGCCCCAACCCAGGTGCAGGACCTTGCACCTTGTCAAGGTTCCTCTGGATGGCATCCCTTCCCTCCAGTGTGTCGACTGCACCTCACAGCTTGGTGTCATTGGCAAACTTGCTGAGAGTGCAATCAATCCTGTCCATGTCACTGACAAAGATGACAGAAGACATCAGCAGTCCCAATACTGACCCCTGAAGAACACCACTTGTCACTGGTCTCCAGTTTGACATTGAGCTGTTGACTGCAACTCTGAGTGCAACTATCCAGCCAATTCCTTATCCACTGAATGGTCTATCCATCAAATTCTTCTTCTCCAGTTTAGAGGCAAGCATGTTGTGTGGGACAGTTTTGCCCAGGTCCAGGTAGATTATGTCAGTTGCTCTTTCTCACCAGTGCTGTAGCCCTGTTGTAAAAGGCCACCAATTTGCCAGGCACAATTTCCCCTTAGTGAAGCCATGTTGGCTGTCTCCAATGACCTCCTTATTTTCCACATGCCTTAGCATAGTTTCCAGGAGGATCTGCTCTGTGATCTTGCCAGGCACTAAGGTGAGACTGACCAGCCTGTAGTTCCCTGGGTCTTCCTTTTTAACCTTTTAAAAATGGGGATTATGTTTCCCCTTTTCCAGGCAGTGGGAACTTCACCGTACTGCCACAACTTCTTAAATTTGATGGACAATGGTGTAGCCACTCCATCTACCAGTTCACTCAGGACCCATGGATGCATCTCATCAGGTCCCATGGGCTTGTGCATCTTCAGGTTCCTTAGATGGTCTTGAACCAGATCTTCTGCAGCAGGTGGTTATTCATTCTCCCAGTCCCTGCCTTTGCCTTCTGTGACTTGTTCAGTGTGGCTGGGGGGCGACCTTTTAAAAATGGGGATTATGTTTCCCCTTTTCCAGGCAGTGGGAACTTCACCGTACTGCCACAACTTCTTAAATTTGATGGACAATGGTGTAGCCACTCCATCTACCAGTTCACTCAGGACCCATGGATGCATCTCATCAGGTCCCATGGGCTTGTGCATCTTCAGGTTCCTTAGATGGTCTTGAACCAGATCTTCTGCAGCAGGTGGTTATTCATTCTCCCAGTCCCTGCCTTTGCCTTCTGTGACTTGTTCAGTGTGGCTGGAGCTCTTGCTGGTGAAGACCAAGGCAAAAAAGTCATTGAGTACCTTGGCTTTTTCCATGTAACCAGGTCTCTTGTTTCCTTCTGGAGAAGGCCCACATTTTCCCTTGTATTCCTTGTATCAACAACATACCTATAGAAGCTTTTCCTGTTGCTCTTGATGCCCCTGGACAGCTTTAACTCTACTGGGGCTTTAGCTTTCCTAACCTGATCCCTGGCTACTTGAATGGTTTCTATGTATTCCTCCCTGTCCTTCCTTCCACCCTCTGTAGGCTTCCTTTTTGTGTTGGAGTTTGTCCAGGAGCTATTTGTTCATCCATGCAGGCCTCCTGGTGTTTTTGCCTGACTTCCTCTGTGTTGTAGTATACATCTTGCTTTCTGTTGTTGTTTGGCTTATGAGTTAGTGTTAATGTCGAATCTGGAAATAAAAACTGGGAAACTTGAAACACTGTTGAAACTCAGGACTTGAAACATTGTAAAACTTGTGCAAAAATATAATTGCATTCTGAATATACATTTAAAATTTGTATGTTTTAATGACTACTTAACAGAAAGCTTTATTCAGTTACAGAGAATTGCTTATTTTTTCTTTTGGATTAACTAGTGTATTCTTCCATTTCAGAATGTATGAAAACATGTCCACAATGGTGTATTTAAAGGAAGAGAAATTGGAGAAGCTCACTCAAGATGAAATCATTGCCAAAACTAAGCAAGTGATCAATGGACTAGAGGCCCTGAAGAATGAACACAATTCAATTTTACAGAGCTTACTTGAAACACTGAAATGTTTGAAGAAAGATGATGAAACTAATCTGGTTGAAGAAAAATCAAACATGATTCGAAAGTCACTGGAGATGCTGGAGCTTGGCCTTAGTGAAGCACAGGTAAAATTGCAGTAGAAATAAAGTATTTCAGACTTTGAGGACTTAAGATTCGTCTTACTGAATATTAATTATGTGCTGGGACATTTACATTGTTACTGTAAGTTAAGGAAAAAGACTACTGTAAGTTAAGGAAAAAGACTGCTGTAATTAGTAAAGGTAGATACTGTTTGTCTTGCTGGGTTACAGAACTAATCATGCATTCAGCATTATAGCACTGAAGCTCATGATTGAGCTCTCTTTACTTAGTGAGACAGTGGCTATTTGCTGTTTAGACTTTTCCACAGCATTAGGCAGGTAATGTTTAAGCAGCTCAAGAACTGAGCGTTGGCATTTTAACTCTAAATTATTGCATATGGAGGTCTCACACACACACAAATTTGCTCCAACCTTTGAGCTCTGCTGTAACTCTAAATTCATGTTTTTATATTCCCTCGATTCTGAGATTCTTTATAATAGCACACAATGCTCCTGGATCTCAAGAATCTCTAATGTTTATTGAACATTTTACTAAATCAAAATTGAATCTAAAAGCATTTTAAATGTTGAGAATTGAGTACAGAATCTGAGTAACTTTCACTCTTAAAGGACTCCTTCTGTGGACTATCTTAGTTGATGAAGGTATTGTCTAACAAAAGGTGAATGAAAAGATGCATGTTTAGTCAGGATGTCAGGACTATATTTACAGTCCAGCTTTAGGGTATTTTGTACTAGGTCAAAAACCTGAAACCTGATGGGATGTGACACAGTCATCAGTATAAAATGGCAGAGTGTTTGCAGATGAGTTGAAAATGCCAGTGAGTCAGCTCTATATTAATAGGCTTTATCTTTGTAACTGTGCTCAGTCTTTTCATCGAGCTGTCGAGCTATTACTGATTGGTGATTTGAAGTTGTGTGCATTGGACCATGATGAATTGAAGCCTGAGAGAGTGAACAAATACAGGTTACCAGACCTGGCAATGTAGAAAGAACCCCTGGACGTTATGGTACAAACTAGGTCAGGCCTTAGTATATTGTACAAGTTTTGATCCTTTCAATTGGAAGAAAATACTAAAAGACATATGGAATAAAATTACAATAGTTGAGTTACCTTTAGTGGGTGTTTGTAGATCTGTGAATGAATGAGTAACTTCTCTCTCCTCATTTTGACATGGTATTGGGACTCTGAAAAGATAGTTCTGATTCTTGGCTCTGTCTGATTCAGCAGCCTCAGTTGCAGATGTTCCTGCCTAGTTTGGCCCCACATAGTGTTCTATGAACTGTCGTGGCGAGGAGCCAAGAAGTCTGCATTTAGTGCCTTTGTTAGGAAGCAATTCTTCAAACTGCTACTCTCAGACCTGATAAACCTACTCTTCCTGAACAGTTTGGGTTGCAACAATGTAGGATTTTTTCTTTTTATGTGTAGTATTTAAATTAGACATGGAAATGCTTTAAAGATGTTTTTGTGACATGGATGTAGGTCTGATGATATATGTGTTAATTCTGTAAAAATGAAACAGACGTTGCTGAAGAAGCAATCAAACTTTTCTTTCAATTAATTCTAGAGAGTAAGATTACAAAGGGGTTTAGTTTGCCATTGTAGTTGTACAGTGCTCTTTGAGTATGTTGACCCCACTATCACAACTTTTCTAAATGTACTTTCTGGTGTTAAAAATGCCTCTGTTTGAATAGGCCAAGTGCTTTAAATTATTAACAATTCTAAATGTGTAAATAGGTAGGTGCTGAAGTCTGGAGACTTGGGTTGGTATTAGGAATAATGTGGAGTTCTTTTATAGGAAAAAGTAATAGGCTTGATGTGGGGGTTTTTGACACCAAATTTCACATAAGGACACGGTCTGTTTCGCATGAAATATTTGGTTTAAAAACACTTCAGGGTGACTTTGTTTTAAAGAAACATGAAAAACAAACTTGAGGATTTCAAATTCATCTAAAAGAAGATTTGTATTAAGACTAGTGACCCTTTCTTACAAGGTGTGCTTCCTGGGATTGCTGTGAGCTGTTCTACGTGTATCAGTGTGAGATTACATAAACGATGAAGGGAAAATACCTTCTGTATGTAGTGTTTGGCTTTCACTTAACAAGCTCCTTTTTCATTTAACTTTGCTTAGCAAAAAAACCCAATTCAAGTAGACTGTTTTGTGGCTGTTATATCTTTTGTCCTGAATGTGACTATTCAAACACACTGAATGTCTGCACACTCAGTAAACTTAATAAAAAGCTTATATAAACTGTATGTTCAGTTGCACATTTAGATCTCAGCAGTATAATCGTCCCTTTGAAGTATTATCATCATGCTGAAGTGTTCATCCTTATGAACTGTAAGCATGTATATGAATCCTTTTCTGTCTGAAAGCTGCTAAATTAGAACTCTGTGTTAGTTCTTGGGTTATTTTTGTGTTCCTTCAAGTTAAAAGTGTTACTGCTCCATTTGATGTTAGTGGAACAAAGGTTTCCATTTCAGTAATCTAGTTCAAATTTTTCATATATTTTAAGATTATATGTTATCTTCATGGAATTCTAAACCAATTGGACTTCTGGTAGTATCATAGAAAGCAATCTTTAGTAAAGAGTTCCTCTAGGTTAATTCTGGCTGAACAAATGGTAAAAAAGTTGAGAGGAAAAGTGAGAACCAGATAGGTTAAGAAGAGAAACGTAAATGTTTACCAAATTTCACAGCTGACATAGGTTTTTAAATAATAAAAGGCTTTTAGATTGCATACAGGACTGCATTCTAGAGGAAATGTCATATGACACCTTCTGCTTTTTAGGTAATGATGGCCTTGTCAAATCACTTAAATGCAGTGGAATCAGAGAAGCAGAAATTGCGTGCTCAGGTTCGCCGGCTATGCCAGGAAAACCAGTGGCTACGGGATGAACTAGCCAATACACAGCAGAAACTACAGAAAAGTGAGCAATCTGTGGCTCAGCTGGAAGAAGAAAAGAAACATCTAGAATTCATGAATCAGTTGAAAAAATATGATGATGATATTTCACCATCAGTAAGTAGCTGTGTAGTAAAAGCCCCTTATATCTACATGTGTGTTGTAATCTGCCTTGTTACCAAGAAGTGACTGATGCAAGCTTTTTTTTTTTTTTCTCTAACAAAAACTTGTCACTAAAATGCTTACCTTGTACCAGGATCACATGGTTTGCAGAAAGATTCTGAGTGTTCAGTTCATTCTTATTTTAGCAGAATGTTTCACTGTCTGTAGATAACAAAATACGTATGAGGATCAAAATCCATAAATACTTGCGTAGTATCATATTAGCTTAAAATATATGAAGAACTAAACCAAACCAAAAATTCCTTTCTGTAAATTCAACAGTTAAAATAAATGGATAATTTAGACTATTAGAGATTGTAAGTACATAGGGGGCTTGGCTTATTTTGACTGCAAGAAAAATGCTTAATTTTCATCTAGTGAAATCAGTGTGCAGGTTTTATATCTGTTGATAATTTACACTGGGATACGATGTTACTGGATCCCCTTCAGCCAGACGTTATGATAGTCTGCACATTTTCAGTTGTGTTTAGCCCATTGTGTTACATAAGCTTAGATTCAGAGAGAAAATGGATACCATTTTAATTTATAGAAGTAATTTACCACTTAAAAAGACTTCTGGATTATTTGCACTTCTTGTTGCCCTTTGTTTCCTTATGTTAGATGGCATTGTAGAGAAAGATCTCATTTTGTGTGGTTAGACCTTTTCAGCTGTGTTTTGGAAATAACAGTTTTTTGTAACCAGTTATTTCAGCAACATAATGACTGAAAATGTATGCGTTTGTCACGTTTAACTGACTGCTTGACTGAATCCTTTTTAGTATATTATTAGCAGTGAGAGTTGTTTTGGCACATGGAACTTTTCAGTGCTATTTCATGAGTTGGTATTCGTAGCTGAATACTTCCAGTGAAGCCTGTTCAGAAAAGGGTTGGGAGAAGGGAATATTGGGATTTTGATGTGCTAACTGCTGAACTGTAATCTGCAGATGGCCTAAATAGTGCCATTATTTAAAATTTAATTGGCACATAGGATCAAAGTAAGCAAAACATCTTTATAGTTTCACTAACCATATGGACAGTCTCTCTCGTTAACCTTTGAAAATAGTCAATTCTGTATGTTCAGTGTAAGGTTGGAATTGGCACACTGAAAATTAGGAACTTCCCATCTGAGATCTAGTCCCATCAATCTGCTGTTTTTGCAGAGCACCCGCTTTGCCACCATTGAACTCAAATGCCGGCAGCTGCAGTTGTCTTTTTCTCTTGGATGGGGAGACAGAAAAATGGGAATGTGTTTCTTCCGCTTCTGGGTTTTCTCCTTATCGAGATTAACTTTTCTGAGAACTTCAACTGTTTATATTGTGTAGACCTCACATTTAAGAAACAGGATTGAGAGACGATCTGTTTCTCTATTTTACATGATTTGGAATGATCTTTGGATGTTTAAACAGTGTAGACTGACGATTGTGCAGAAATTAATGTGGATCCAGGTGAACACTGTTGGAAATGAATTTCCTTGGAGGTGTTTTTTTGATTTTTGATCCTTACAGATTGCAATTGCAAAGCCTATTTTTTGTGCAGAAGTTGAGCACTCAGGAAGTGAGGTTTCTGTATTTCTCTCCCTTGCCCATCTGTAACTGTGTTTACGACTAAAATTGTACAATGTTCAGTATTTAGTATCACTGAATCTGTATTCAGTAGCATTCACTCGTCACTGGGTACTTTCATTAGGTATGATGTCTCTGTAAGAATAGCAAATGTGTTCTTGTGTGCTCAAATTGAGACTGAAATCTAGGAGACCTGGTTTCTATTCCTGGCTCTTCTGAAGGTGTCCCGTATTGTCTGGGATACAGTATGTAAATACATTTGAACATAAGATCTTCATAAAATGTCTATAAGAAGTGTTATTCTTGTTTATTCCTAAGTTGTGGATATGAGGTTTTCTTTTAACATTGCTGATTAAATGGACTGTCCCTTTATGCCTTAGTTTTAAGTATAACAATTTGGGTTTGTGGTTCTATAGGAGGATAAGGATACGGATTCCACCAAAGAGCCTTTGGATGACTTATTTCCCAATGATGAAGATGACCAAGGACCAGGAAGTAAGTGCACTTAAAATTACAATGTTAGTGGGTTTCTGCAATGCAGAATATAAAGATGCTGTTTAGAAAAATCAACCAATGTTTGAGGTCCTCTGGGACACAGGGGGAGTGGTGAATGCCTCTGCTAGAATAAGGAAACCAGTCATTGATACACATTCTATACATTGATATGTGCAGAACTGGGGCGTGGGTTTTTAAATAGAGTTCACTGGCTGTTGTAAAGTTCTCGGCACTGACCCCTGTTCAAAATTTGTCCCACAGAATTTCCTGTGGGCCTCCGAGAGACTGAGACAGATTCTGATACACTGAAGCCTTTTGATGGCCTGATCAGATGGTGAATTCTGTTAATGACCTTTTTAATGGTCTGATTTAACACTGTGGGGCAGGTTTCAGTATGAAGTCTTTATCATATAATATTTTGTCCTTTGCTGAGGTTGTCTTCCTTAGTTTTACTAGTCATTCCAGAAGTGGCGTCTTCTGGTAAGAAGGACTGTAAATACGGTGTGAAGTTTGAGGTAGTGGTTTGGTAGCATGATTGAAAGAAGCCATTAATAGATAAGCCTTGCTTAGTGAAATTTTGGGGGGTTTACGGGTGTAAAGCTGCTATTATATACCGTATTGATACTATAGTGCATAGGCAGTATGCTAGTAATATAGTGGTTCTCAGAAGACAAGTGACTGCAGAAGAAAATGTCTGAAGGGTCCCACTTGTGTAATCAGACTTTCAAATTTCCTTTACGGGCAGAAGACTTTGAATGGCAAAGCTGTCTGTATACCTACATAGCCCATCTACCTTATTTCAAAGTTGATCCGTCAGTAATTTACTTGAGCTCCAGGAAAAATACTGCAATGCTTCAGTGCTTTGGTAGTCAGTGGAAGCGGGTGTAGGCTTGGAATTGTGTGATGCCACTGACATAAAAAGGCTTGCACTTGAGTGGAGAGTGTTTTTTGTTCATAGAAAGAAGAAAGTCAGGCCCATGGCTGGAGCCCTTATCGTTGTGTTGTTTAGAATTTAATGTAAATGAGTAACAGGGAATTTTTTCAATTTTCCCAGAAATCTCCCAGAGGAAGAGAAAAGGGGTAGTAGATCTGGGAGAGGGAGGCAGAGCAGAGGAGGGAATTGGAGCGTGGTGGTTGCCACAACCAAAGGTTAGAAGCTTCTGGAAAATAAGTGTCTAAGCCTGAAGGTTAGTAAGTAAAACCTAGAAGTTTTACCTAAAGTGTCTCTGGCCTTGACTTGGTGCCTTTTCTCTTGCAACTGTTATTTGTGGCATGCAAGGTCTTCTAATCCTTTATGTGTCAACCTTAAGTGTACTCCTTAGTATAGCAAAAAAAGGAAACAAACAAACAAAAAAGTATGTTTAGAGAAGGAGAATAAAGGAAAAAGTACAAATCATGGAGCTTTTCTGCAGGTATTTGGCTTGTTCCTTTCCACAGGGAAACATCAATATTTGTAAGTGCAAAATTATGATATAATCATGAGAATTGTTAATGATTTGCTGAGCTGAAATAGTTTCCTGCTTTCTTCTCTGGTTTATTACATTTGGGCCTTTGAGCTAATAGACGTGTAAAATAACATAGTAATGGACAGAATATGAAGAATGAAATGGTCATAGTTTCACTGTCACTGTTGAAGACAGCATGACTGCTGCGAAGTATGTTCTAATACCAATACTTTATAAAATTCAGATATTCTCATTTTTTTGTCACTGAGAGTAATGTTAAATTCTTTAGTTAGTCATCTTTTAGGCAACTTGAAATCTTGTGTGTTTCTTTCAGTTCAGCAGCAGCATAGCAGTGCAGCAGCTGCTGCCCAACAAGGTGGATATGAAATTCCAGCACGATTAAGGACCCTTCATAATCTTGTTATTCAGTATGCTTCCCAAGGCAGATATGAGGTTGCTGTACCTCTCTGTAAACAAGCTCTTGAAGATCTGGAGAAGACTTCAGGTCATGATCATCCTGATGTTGCCACTATGTTGAACATACTTGCTTTGGTGTACAGGTTTGTATACTGATGTAGATAAGTATCAATTAACTAAATAATATTTGGCTACAAACTGTTGATGTTCAGACTAACATTTTTTGACTGTTTTATTTTCCATTCCCTTTTTTAAAAAAAATTGAAACCCTCAGAGGGTCCTGCAATACTTACATGTATTCCTATGCTTAAAAGTCAGAAAAGTTACTGCATTTTTGCCTATGCCTTTGCTTCAGGAGCAAAGCTGGTTTTGATACCTTTTTTTTATCTACTGGGGGGGGCTTGTCTTGATTACACACTTCTAGATAATATAGAGGAATAAATTGGACAGCAGTGTAGCAGTAGTACTTGCTAGTCCTGAACTAGCGAACTACTTTACAGTGACAGGCTTCAGGTTTTTACTTCTTGATTCCTGAATATATTCTTAAATACTCTTCTTTTATACTAGCATTTTTAGGCCAATACTGAAGTCAGCTTCGTTTTTATGACTTTGGTTTCTGAATCCCCAGTATTAATTATGACTCTTAAAATTTAGAGACCAGAACAAATACAAAGATGCAGCAAATCTCTTGAATGATGCCTTGGCTATCCGTGAGAAGACTTTGGGCAAAGATCATCCAGCGGTTTGTATACATGCAATATCATATTTTTAGTTGTGTTTTTCGCTGAATGTTTTTCAACTCATTCTAATGTTAAACTCAACAGGAAAGTTTTTAAGACCTGGCTTATCTCTAGACAGTACAGGTAGGAGGCCACAATGTTAACAGTCTTCATTTTCTCTTAAGTATTTAACATGCCTTTTGAGCATTATATTCAATGTTGTTTCACCATAAATGACTCTCACACATTTGATTTTGGATTGCATTGATTTTCTGTGGGAAATCAATTTGTGTTGAAAGATTTTAATTTTCTTACTGAAATCACTTTATAAAACTCATATTGAAGGGGTCCTTCTGATTTGTTTTATGGTTGCTTTTAAATGAAACTTAAATCAAGCTTTTGAACTCAGTGTTTAAAATTAATGTTATCTCACTTCATATAGCCTATGTGAAGCAGGGCAGCTCTGAGTATAGATCTGAGAAGTAACTTTGTAACAGAAGAACATACGAAGAAAACGTGTGCACTAAATGACATTTCAACAAATGAAGCAAAATTATTTCATGATTTTTTTCCTTTCCTTGTTTGTGTATGTATGCGTTCAATAATAATTATTTCTTTACTTGCAAATCTCAAGAGGTCCACCCTGTGCATGGAAAATTAGAAAACATCAATGCATTGCAGATTTGTTCATTTGTCATATATTTCTATCAGTGAATTCCAGTGTGATTAAAATTTCTCTGCCGTTGGCAGGTGGCAGCAACTCTAAACAATCTTGCAGTACTTTATGGTAAACGGGGAAAGTACAAAGAAGCTGAACCGTTGTGTAAGCGAGCTCTGGAAATCCGGGAAAAGGTATGAGTAAAAGAATCCAGTGCCTTTGAATGGATTTTTTTGAGGGAGAAGGCAAGGTTAAGCTTGCTTTATTTACTTTATGTATTGGTTGGGTAGATCTGCCAGATAAACCACGGAGTTAGCAATGCCCTAGTAGTTAGCAGTGTCTGAAATTCAAAACAGCTGCACACTCAAGTAGTCCTTTGGAGTTGCTGGAGCACTCTGGATATATTCTAAATTCTGTATTTTGTAATTAACCTTCTTTACCTTTTTCTTTCCCCTTTGATAGTTAAGAAATCTTTCATATTTGACAAAAGCTTTGGAACTAAAAATGAAACATCATTAAAATTTTGAAGTTGATTATTTTATGACTGTGTGGATATTTATTCTAGTCCATGACACTGAATGCCTGCATCTTCAGGCTTTGTTTAATACACTGCATGCAATGTTTTTATACTATTTATATTATTCCTGTTATTAATTGTTCTGCAGCGTTCTCAGCTTTTAATAGAATTGAGTGATTTTTCATATGTCTCTTTTGTCATCCTCATGTTGAATTGATGAATAATAAAAACTAACAGCATATTTCTAAATGATGCATTTCTAAACCCTGATACGAAGACTGGAGAACGTTTTAATACAAGTTATTCAATTTTCAGGTCCTGGGGAAGGATCACCCTGATGTTGCTAAACAGTTGAATAACTTGGCTTTACTATGCCAGAACCAGGGTAAATATGAGGAGGTTGAATACTACTATCAGAGGGCACTGGAAATTTACCAAACCAAGCTGGGACCAGATGATCCAAATGTTGCAAAAACAAAGAATAACCTGGTAAGCCTTTTATAGAGTAAATCTAAGAAAAAGTAAGATTTTCTGATTAATTGCAATGCACCTTATTCAGGATGTTTTGTATTTATTATTTATCAAGCTAAATAAAAGTGTGCTGATACCTTTTGGGGGTATTTTGTTTTTAGGCATCCTGCTATCTAAAACAGGGCAAATTTAAGCAAGCGGAAACTTTATACAAAGAAATTCTTACTCGTGCTCACGAACGGGAATTTGGCTCTGTAGATGGTAAGAAACTGAGTCCCTAGATTTGAATGTATGTGTCATTTTTGTAGTTATTGTGAAATAATATCTGCAGGAAGTTAATTGTATCGTGATCAAAATCATGTGCTTGAGGTAGGTTTGAAAAGTGAAGTAATAGACATGTTGGAGTATATTCATCATAAGAAAGCATTTAGCTATGTCAGTAGTGTTTGATTGAGAGGAGATTTTTTTCTTACATGAGGTAGACTTGGTAGGTTTATGTTTTATGGATTATATTTCTGGCATAATTTGTGTTATGCCCAACCAAAACCAATTTTCGTATGTTTATAGAGGCAGAAAAATCTGTGCCTTTCCAGTCACAGCTAAAAGTCAGTGCAGGATTTTTAATGATATAATAAATACGTTGTTAATGTGAGTCTTCCATTAATACATTTAAAGAATGGAGAAAATACCCTTAAATTTTGAATTACACTGTACATTGAAGTCAAATGTATTTTATCAACTGTAAATCACATTGCATTCCATCACAGTAGCATGTGTACCACTTAGTAGATGTCAAAGCAGTTTTTATGATAAAAGAAGTAAACGTGCGGTTTTTAGCCCAGAACTAGGCACATGACAAATCTATGTCAGCATATACTGACTTCAAAGCTTCTCAGAAGTAACTAAGTTCAGATAAGAAAAGAAGACACAGTTGTAAAACTATAAAGAAGAGGCACATGTTTTATTTATCTGCTGTTTGTATTATGGACAGTAAGGTTTTTTGTGGTGGTAATAGTATAATTCCCTGGTTCACAACTTCATTTCAGAAGGGTGAAAATCAAACAGTGAATGCTTTGTAGTTTTGTTCTTCTGTAACATATTTTCTTGTGTTTCCTCAGATGAAAATAAGCCTATTTGGATGCATGCAGAAGAGAGGGAAGAATGCAAAGTAAGGCTATTGCCATAAATCTTTTTTTGGAGTTTTTACTTAAGTTACAAATTGGTTATTTTCGTTCAATGTTACTTTTGTTTTAGGGAAAGCAAAAAGATGGCACATCTTTTGGAGAATATGGTGGCTGGTACAAAGCTTGCAAAGTTGACAGGTGGGTAATTTCTTTACAGGACAAACAGCGTGGCAATACACAGTATCCAGAAATGTCACATTAAAGCATGTTTAAAAATGAACCATACCAGCTGCTTGCTTAGGACTGTAAAAACAATGGTATTAAAAATTCAGGCCCCAAGAAAAGGTTTCAGGAACATACTAACAGTTTTCAAGTCCTGTGGATGCTTTTAATCTAGCCTGGTTAGATCTAGTAAGTGGCAGAAAAATTCACCAGTTGTGTTCTTGGCAGTCCTTCACGTGAAGCATTGGTCACCTTTTTCTATTTATTCCATTGGTTGATGTACATGCTCTCCCTGTCCCAGCAAGGCCTCTAGAGAGGCCCAGAAGCAAAAAAGAGGCTGTGCAAATAACTGAGCCTTGAGTTTTCTAGCTGGTACGAGAAAACAAAGTCAAAACTGCCACAGTTCAGCATTGAGTTTATAAAGCTCAAAGAATATACCTTTGTGTGAATGAAAAACTGTACTTTAAAATGGAAGAGAAACAAGGACTTCTGCTTGGATTGTACTTGCTGAAATAAGGTTTTTTGTTTGCTTTAATTTTGTAACTTAGCTGCCTTTTTAATAATGTGCAAGTACTGCAAGGTAAGAAACCTGCATCTAGTACTGATAATGTTTAGTGAGGCTTTTAAATTTTTTCAGTGTTTGGATTCTTGTGTTTAACAAGTAACAAAACCTTTGAACTGTTGAAATCTACTCTTTTTTCTCCATCCTGAACTCTGGGTGCGATACATTTTGTTGGTTTGTTTTTCATGTACTAGTTCATCCTAATGCATGAGGAAGTCTTTTCTCTGATGTTACTGGAGCAAAACTTCATGCAACAATATGGTGACTGAGCTAGTACTGTGTTATTGAAACAAAAATGTCTTGTTGAAGTGTGATACTTGTTAATGGAATGTACAATTTTAATTTTTTCCTCCTTTATTCTTCAAGCATAGTTTGAAAGCATATAAAATGCAAATAAGTGTAAAGTAAAAGCTGATGAAAGGAACTGTTAATTTGTGTCTAACATGCTACAGTAATGGTCACTGTATGCATGAGTAGGCATATTTTCTGGAAGCTTCACAATTGTTCAGTTGGGCACATTCAGATTGAGCTAAATTTTTACCTTGAGATACACCTGAGAAACAGAAGAGTCTAGTTACTAATTTTCAGTTTCAGGGCTGTTGATTAATCATAGTGTGAGCCGTTAGTGCATTTGGAAAGGAGTTAAGAGGTTTATCCATGTACGTGCAGTACAGTGTAGTGTATTTCAAGAGACTTTCTGTAATTATTTAATATGATAAATACTATATTGAAGTTTTTATTAGTTTGTGAATTGAGAAGTTTAGTGTGTGGGTTTATTTTTTTCTTTTAATAGTCCAACAGTAACAACTACCTTAAAGAACCTTGGGGCGCTTTACAGACGACAGGGCAAGTTTGAAGCTGCTGAAACATTAGAGGAGGCAGCAATGAGATCTCGTAAACAGGCAAGTATGAAAATTCTCCTTAATGATATGTCTGCATTGTGATCATGTAGATTTTCAACTTAAGTATCTATCGTATGTACAGGATATGTGAACTTTTAGCTGTTTAGTGTCTGGTGCCTGGTATCGCCCTCTTATTTCAGTCTGAACTGGTGATAAACCAATACCATCTTAACACTTGAAACTGGTTAATTGCTAGGGCAGTGGCATCATATCCTGGGGACATGATTCAAATTGGGGGTGAAATTCCATGGAAAATGGCACAGCAGAAAACACTGTCATGGCCAGCAGTCCTTAATTGCCTGCATGTCATGGGAGAGAGGCTGTAGCTAGGGGAGGATGGAGAGTTTCGATGCTAATCTCATTTGCCAGTAATGCTGTTCTATTTTCAATAAGGAGCTGTCAAACTTACAAATGTTCTGTTTCCGCATATGACTGACTGACTGCTGCAGGTCTTTAGAAGACCATTGTAAATCTATTGGTTGTTTGTCTTACTTTAGCAAACTGATGAGATGGATATTACATCCATCTCATATACTTACAAGAAGCCCCCCCCCCCCTTAAGTTTAAGTGGGGGGACTATTATTCTTTTTATGCAGGGAAGTTCTCTACTGTGCCTGTGCTCTCAAATCTGCAGTTCAGGTAACCCTTTCTCAGAAGGTGGGAGAGTTTGTTTTTGTGGGGTTTTATTGGCTTTTTGTTTTTCCTTTCCCTTTTGGATGATTTGATACAATGTCTTGTATAATATCCGAAACAGGACAAGTAAATATGGCTTGTCAGTGTTAAAATGGAAAGCAAAATAAGAAAATACAAGTGAATTAAAAAACGCATTGGGAAGTTCAATTTTAATTTCATTTTTGCACAATAGTAAATAAGATTCCACCACCACCCCATGCTCTTCTAGTGAATTCAGGAATAGTTCTCTTTTATATAAGGTGGTTTAAGTTCTTTCTTCCACAAAAAAAGATGGAAAACTTACAAGTGTTTGCCAGGTAAATTAAATGAAACTGATAAGAAGAAAGTATGAATCTGGGACAAAGGTTCTTCAGCAAGGAAAATTCAGGGGCAGTGGGGATAGTTGATACAGGTATTTTCTTTTGCTGAGGATGATTTTAACTTACTTTTACTGAAGGATCATTTTCAGAGTGTCTCAATTTGAAAATAAGAAATGAACATGCACAGCATCTTAAAATGTTTGCTCTGGTTCTTAGTTTTGCTGTTGCCATTACATGTGCACATGTAATTTTTCTTTTTTGGTGTAAACAGGTACAACCTGGATAAATTGGAATAATAGCTTGTATTTATTTTCTTTTATAT